CCAGAACCAAACAGCAATTGCGTGGAAGGAGCAAGCTGGAAAATAAATAACACTGGAAATTGTTATTTTTCCTTCATCCACTGCCACAGATGTAAATCCCAATTTAACGGCAAAGGAAAGGGCGGTGCCAGCCCCTTGGACAGAGCTTTCACCTCCAACATGGCACTCGGCATGCACAGACCAGAGCGAGGACTGAAAGCATCAATACTTTTTTAATGGACATGGGCTCAGCCAGCGTGGTAACACACAGGCTGTGGTCCCGCCAGTGCAGAGGGGTTTTGGGGAGGCTCTGGGCATCTTCAGGACAAAACAGCCAGTCCCCCTGCCTGCGTTCTGCCAGCAGAACACAGGCTCCTGGAGCAGACTCGTGTGTGCCCAGCACCAAACCAAAGAGCCCATCTTTCCGAAGGGCCCCTCCTGCCCTCACACCACTGTGTGGTAGTCTCATTTATCAGTTTGAATGAAAACTAACTCACAGCAAAGGCCGATCTAAATCGGCACTCTCTAAACGCACTTAAAACAAGTCAACTAGGTAAGTGGGGTAGAAAATAAAGCTTTGGCTTGCGTGTCTCAGCTCTTCAGTGAGCAGCTCCTGGCAGCAAGGGAAGGAGCCGCAACAGCTGTGCTCCCAGGGCAGTGTGGGGAAGTGCCCGTCGTGCCACGCTCCCTCATATACATGGGGTTCACTGCACCTGCCCCTGTCCCTGTCCTCCAGGAATACAACTCGAGCAGAGCTTCGACAACCCGGCTACTCCAGTTACCTGGTCTCAGCGTATCACTCGCTTCAAACCTTAACTCCAGCTGTGACTGATAAGCATCTTGACATAGCCTGGGAACCTGCCAAGTCACATTTAAAGGAGTCTTGAGTTATCTAAACCAGATACAGTGCTGGTGCAGGACTGGCATTTTATTCTGTGTTTAAACCAACCTTATCGTGCCTGTTGTTAGGGACAAGAATTGAAAGGAGATGAGGAAGGATTTCATTCTGTACTTTCTCTTCTCCTTTTATCAGGAACCATCAGAAAGCTTTAGCACAACTTTCCCAGCCTCCCAAGGCTTGCCATCTGTGGATCCGTACCAGCATCTGCAGACCACAAGTACCTATTACGAAGCTGGACAAAGGGGTGGGCATTCTTCCTGGCATGGCTCGATTTCCAAAGAAATATTTACTTAACATCACCATTCGCTTGAGCAGAAAGGTTATACAGACAAATGGCTGGTGAGAGGGTCACCCCCTTCCCAAGGGCTCCGAGTCCTGCCTGCAAAGAGCTGAGTGTCCCCAGACCCTCCCAGGGGCTAAGGCCAGCCTGGAGAACAGCCTCCCTTCTTGTCCCATCTGTTAGTGCAGTAACCCACCCTTGACCCTGTTACTGGAATCTTACCTCCTCCTTCAACAGGCAGAAATTGTTACAGGTATTATCTGCAGAGGTATCACAATTACATAGTTGGCCACAACAGGATTATGCAGTCATTATGCCAGGTGATGCATAAACACCTGGCACTCTCCCAGGCGGATTACATCCAAACTGAAGAAAGGAATCTGCAGGTAGGTGTGACCACCAGACACAGGGATACCAAACAGGTAACAGTAGTAACCGCAAATGCCACTTAAATCCCATCTGAAACCATGGACAGCTAGACTTTCCTCATACAATTACCCTCTAAATTCCTGTATTGCCTCTGTTTCCATTGCTTCAGCAATAGCTCCTTCTTTGATTCCACTTTAGCTCAAACCAAACAGGCCCACACCACTTACCTACCACTGTGTTTTGGTCTGAGAAGTCCTTTTGATGCCATTACCTTGGATTTATTCTATCAATGCTGCATTTCACTCTCAAAACAGGTTATTTAGTTACATCCAAGACTGCTGGTAGTAATTATGCAATAACCAGAGCACAAAGATAAACAGATATAAGTCCACAGCATAACAAAAGCTTGGATTAATTTGCTAATTATACATAAGCATTACTCCTTCAATCAGGCACACCATATCAAAAGCTTTAAATTAAATCAGATTGCGTTAATGCCTACTTTGTCTCCTGTGTAAGTCTCATGTACAATGTTTCAGTGGCTCTAAACACTGACAAATCCCTCCCCATCAAAGGGGCAGGGAGCAGTCATGGATCCACGTGGTCCAAGATGCCATCCTACACTGCACCCCACCGTACCCTGTGCCTGGAGACCACCAACCACCCCACGGACAGGCCAGGAGTGCTCCCCCTCAGGGTACCTCGTTCAGCCCTGCTGGATCTGAGGCAGTCCCTGATACTGGACAGGGTTTGTTACATGAGCTGTGAACATCCCACACCGAGGTGGAAGCCAGCACCCAGTTTTCTATGCACGATCCATGAAGCAGCCCGGCCTCCCTCTCTCATGGCTTCAGAGGTAAACGCTTCTACTTGGAACCCTAGAACTGAAACTGGTGGTAGTTTATACAAAGGAAAAATGTAAACAATTCCCCCCAGAATTAAGAAACTGTTCATGCTTTCGTGTCACACATTTGGGGGGTGTTTGTCTCTAAACCAGCCTATCTATACCTAACCTAGACTGACCAGGGCAGAGCTGGGGTTTCAAAGAGCGGCTCACCTTGGAGGGAAGAGATGTGATCCCACTAGCACAAGCCAGGACCATTCAAAAAGGGAAAGAACTTGGAGCAACACACCTTAAAATGCTCCTTATCCTTCAAAGGAGAGTGGGCTGCACCTGCAGCTACTGCTGCCAGCACTGCCATGGCACAGGGATCTGCAGCAAGATCTCATTAGGCTGGTGAAGTTGCAGCGAGCTGCAGAAATGCCCCCACCGCTCCCAAAGAAAACGCTGATATCACATTTTCCCAGGCTGAGAGGGTAAAGCTTTGTATGCAATGCCACACAGGGCAGGATCTGGAATCCAGCACTAGGAGCTAGCGGGGGAGTACAGGTCCAAAACAGAGCAGCCTTCAGCAAGGGAACTTTGCTATAAAGTGGTTTAGCTCCAGTGACCCTTTTTCCTCACAAGCATTGCTGCCTTGGAGGCTGATACAGGACCTGTTGCCATCAGCCTCAGCTGCAGCAGATACTGCTCACTGCACTGGCTCTGTGAGGGGTGTCTATATCTTATCCATGGGAAAATTAAAAGCCATGGCAACTGACAGGCAGCACAGTGTAAACTTAATGGAGTTTTTGCTAGGATGAAATACAAACCTGGCAGCAATGACACTTATATCTTCAACACCACAAAGAAGGGCTCTGCTTTCCTTTCAGCATTTTGAAACTGCATGTTAATATAGGGTATTAGGACTTCGAGTCCCTCATGCCCTGGCAGGAGCTGTTAGTGCTGCAGTTCAAAGGACAAGATACTGGTATTTTGACAGTTTGCTGTGCTAACTCTGACTTCACAACCCCGGCAGAAGCTTGCCAGCAGGAGCACAGACCCTCCACAACCGCTGCGCCAGGGAAACGAGGACAGAGACACAGCATGCTGAACGGAGCCATGAGGAAGAGGAAGATAGAGCACTTCCCATGGGAATGAGGGAGACGTCATTTATCTCTAAGACAAGACTGGGGCAAAATTCACCTGCTGGCCAGGTCCAGCTCATGCGGCTCCCTGCCTGACCACCACACCAGCCCAAACCAGCGTTTGTTAACACAGTGTTACCCTCTGTGCAGGATTTGACTGCACAGGCTTCACGGGCAAACAAACCATGGCCAAGGCTGAGCCTCCTGCTACCAAAAACCTGCATCATCCACTGCCAGCACTGGGGCAGATGAGCTTTTCCAACTTTATTCATCCCCACTCACTCTGTGCTGATTTCAGCGGAGATTTATCCAGACCCCAGCAGAAGACACACATGGCTTCTGCCCTGGTACAACACTCGCAGCCAGACTCACTTTTACCTCTTCTTACTTTTATGGTTTTTTTTTTATGTTTTGTTTTTTTTTGCCAAGCCCTCAACTTCTTCATAAAATCCACAAGTAAATTACTGAGCAGATGATAATTACCACACTCCCCAAATAAAGCTGTGAGCTTTTTAAAGCAGAACAAGCACAGAAGCATGAGCAGCTGTCCTGTGCTTATTTAAAGGGAAAGTCTAATTGCTCATTTTGCTCCTCCCAGAGCTCCTCACAGTGAGCACTTGGACATGGCACTCCACCGATGCAAAACCCAGGTGAGTCCACATCAACCACCTGTGGCCAGGGTCACCCCCCCCATTCCAGCTTCCATCAGCTGTGGCCATTCCCTGGTGCAGTAATGCAGTTTGCCACGATGAGAGGTGCCAAGGCAGCATGCCCACTGGTTTATGGTGTATACCTATTTCACAGGGAGTCTCTTTCTTTGAGGTTAATCCACCAGAAAAAAAAAAAAAAAGCTTTTCAAAGCTTTTCACTGAATCCTTCTCAAACAAATCTTTCATCCTCTGCTGTATCTCTAAATACTTTTCTATCTCTATGTTAAAAAGCATTTCCTATCTGTATTTAGACCAAAGCTTCAAAGCCCAGCCAGTATTTCTCTGCCTATACACCAGCAGTTTCAGGTCGGCTCATTCCCCACGCGTCCGGCTCACAGCCGAGGGAAGCGCAGGGGGAATTTTAACTCGATCTCAACCATCGGTCCGTGCTTCAAGCGCAGCACCCCTGTTCCCTGCATACTTACCGCAGCCGAGGGAAGGGGGGTAACAGAGGTGTAATGAAACGGGATAAATGCAATCAGCCGTAAGAGGACGGCGGGGAATTCCGAGAGTTCAGCGCGGTATTTCTGGCATAATTCTAGCTAGTAAGGCACAAGAGGCAGCGTCTCGGTTACGGCTCGGGAAGCCTCCGACAGAGGAAATGCGAAGCCAGCTGGGGCAGCAGGGGCAGAGGTGCTCGGATCCGCCGCAAAGCAGCTGCGGGACGGGGCGCGGGGTGTCGGTGCCATGCGGGTACAGGATACTGATGGATACGGTGCAGGGTACGCGGTGACGGCGGGAGGAGGGACAGGGGATGCGGAGTACGGGGTGCCAGCGGGACGGAGGTACTCACCGGACATCGCCGTAGGCGCCGGCGTAGCCCTCGGCCCAGGGTTCCAGCTCGCTCTTGATGCAGGCGGCCGGGACGGCGAAAGGCGCCCGGCCCGCCGGGTACCAGGTGTCGGCGGGGAAGCCGGCGGTGTCTGCGGCCAGCCCGCGGCCGCAACCGAGGGGCCCGGCGGGCGGCTCGGCGCAGGGCCCGTACAGCGGCCCCTCCTCGGTGAGAAAGGCGGGCCAGGGCGGCGCGGGGCCCGGAGGGGCCATTTCGGTGCCGTAGCGGCACACGTTGCCCCAGCTGCCGCCCGCCGCCGGCCCCGGCGGGCTCTCCAGCTTGACGCGGGCGTGCGGCGGCAGGCGGAGGACGGGGGCCGGCCGCGCTGCGGGCTCCGGCGAGCCGTGGCAGAGCTCCGGCCCGGCGGGGACATCGACGGCCAGGGCAGCCCCGGCGCCCGCGAAGGCGGCCGGAGCGGGCGGTGCCTGCGGCGGGTCCCCACCGGCAGGGCGAGGAGTACGGGGCGGCCCGGCGGGCAGCGCGAACATGCAGTCCTCACGGGTCAGCGGCTCGGTCGGTGCCTCTAGGGCCAGGCCCATGGAGGCAGACACGGCCCTGCAGAGCTGCCTGGCGCTGTCGCCCAGCGGGTCCTCCTTGGGCGCCGGCTCGGCTTCGGGCGCCGCCGGCAGCGGCATCGCGCCCGTCTCGCCCAGCAGCTCCCTCATCTCGCCGGAGCAGGGAAAAGGCGAGCCCACGGCAGGGCCGGCTGCCGGCACCGCTTTCCCGGCGTCGCGGGGCTCCTGGGGCGGCAGGCAGGAGGGCGAGTAAGGCGGCCGGGGGCTCGGCGGCCGGGGCTGCTGGCCGGCGCCGGGCTCCTCCCGCGGCGCCTGGAAAGCCTCGCATACGCTCTGGAAAAAGCTCTGGAAAGCGCCGCGGAAGGTCCTGCCGCCCGCCCGCGGGTAGACGCGGCCAACCCCCAGCTGGACCTCCATGCCCGCTCAGAGTGGGGCAGCGAAGGCGGCAGCGAAAACAGCAGCGGCAGGCAAGGCGAAGCCGGAGAGCCCCGGCAGCAGCTCCCCGGCCGCCCGCCCGCCGTACCGGTTAGCAGCGGCGCGGCCCCGCGGCGTCCATCCCCGCCGCAGCACTGGACAGGGTGCTCGGGGCGCGGAACAGGCAGCGAAAGTTAGAACCGACAGAGCGGGCAGGTGCCTGCGGAGGGAGGCGGAGCGGCGGGGGGGGGGCGCCCCGCGCAGCCGGGGCAGTCCGGGAACTCCCCGGTGTCCCGGCAGGGGCGAAGCGCGCTCGCCCTTCCCGCGGCGTGGCTCGGAGCGGAGTCCCGCGGGGCTGCCCTGGAGCAGCGCGGACCCGCAGCGCCGCCGCCGGCGCCCGCTGCAATTTCTCGGCTCAGCGCCTTCAGCGGTGCTGGCCCCCGCGGGAGGAGCGGAGCGGGACGGGACGAGCTGCGCAAGGCGGCTGGGCGCGGCTGCAGCGGGCCCTGGTGCCCGTTCCCCGGTAGGCGGCCCCGGCTCCGGGGGCTCCGCTCCCTTCGCGGCTCCGCCTGCCCCGGGTGATGCGCTGCGCGGGATTAGCAGGAAAACGCTCGTTTTCGCTGTGCGCTGCGACGCTGGGAGCTCAGCAGCTCCCTCCGCCCGAGCCCTGCTGGGGGCTCCACCGGCCCCTTTGCCTCCTGGGCACGGAGGTTGCGTCCCTCTCCCCGTCCGACGGCAGCCATCCCCGTCGAGACCCAGCAGACCGGTGTACCACCACCCTGCTCACGCACCAGGCTGACGATGACCTCGCCAGCAGACATAATTAGCGTAGGACCTACCACAAACAAGGCTTGAGCTCCCCTTGCTGGTCCTGTAATTAACAGTCCTCAAGCAACTACTGGTAGGCGCCATTCCCAGACAACCTGGTAATGGAATCAGTCATTTGAGGTAGCTTAAAATAAGCCCATTAATTTCAATCCCTTTGGAGATAAAGGGAAAGTAATAACGTGTTGTAAATGGAGAAGTGGAGCCAGTCGGGAAAATGAAGAATCCTGTACGGTCCTTTAAAAGTATTTTTACAGGCTGTAGAAGATAAAAATAAAAATCCCAAGTACAGCCAAGTACAATCTGTCAGCGTGCTCTGAGCTGCCTGAGCTGCTGGAGCCCCGTATCTATCAGCAGCGGGCTGGAGAAGGCAATTTATGGAGAAACCCTGTGGGCTTTCAGTCTGTATGAAGCTCCAAGCTGGTTTTTAATGACACGTAATATAGAACCTAAAGTGATGGAGCAGCATGGCTAAAAGCTGAAAAGGCAAAACCAGAGGGATGCACAGTAACATGTGCAGGGTGACTGTGTAAACTGTCATAGGTCTCAGCGTTCCCACCTGCGTTGCCACAGAAGAGCCTGACTGCAGCTCGGGGTGAGCTCCCTCACGGCATGTGGCCCCAGCCCTGGGGTGACAGAGTAGAATCACAGAGTGAATCAGAAGCATTGAACCAGTAGCTGCAGCTCTGGGTGAGAGGGGATGGAATATGGCAGGAGAGGTGTTTCAGAGGGATGCAAAGACACCCATGAAGATGAGGAGGACATTTGTGTGGCCAGCTAATAACCACATTACAAATTGTTCCTCACCTACCCACATGGGGAAAAGCCTGCATGTAGGAAGCCTTTTCATGGGGTAGGCTTGTTAGAAGTGACTGCTACAGAGGCAAGGTCATGTGCATCGCTTTTCAAAGAGCTGATATAAAGCCTAAACTGGATTTTATGAAAAATTAGTACCATTAGCTCAAAGAATGTCTATTTCTTGGACACCAATAAGTGTCCAGGCTCACTTTTCTCACCAGCTACACAGTACCAACAATGCTCCAGCATTACCACAAAGCTGCTCAGCTCTTCAGAAATGAGGGCAAAGCCCTTGAGGCACAAACCCAAGATTCACAGGTGGATCTGATCATGCGATCCCCCATAAATGATGCAATTTCCCCCCTCCCCATTCCACAAAATTAGCTGTTGCCACATATCCATGCTGGTACCTGCCAAGTTGATGCAGATCCCAGCGTCTTTGCTCATTCAGTCATCAATAATTGTCAGGACCCTGGAGTAAAACACATGGACTCTGGAAAACATCAAGGGGAGGATTCTCATGATTGGAGTAAAGAAATGCATTGAGAAAAAGCCGAGGTCAGGAAGTGCAGTGTAATATCCCTTAAGAAAGAGATGCTTTGTTTTTTAAACAAGGCAGGGTGATGCACACCTGTGATTCTCACAAGCTGCATCAGAGCACTGTTTGGCACCACCACTTCCACCCAGGAGGAGATGTCCTCCATTCCTTCATATGTGGTGCAAACCCTGTGAGTGGTGCAGACCCCAGTGCAAGCTGGACTCTGTGTTCAAGTTCTGCCTCGGACTGGGTGTATGTGCACCTGCGGGTGTTTTCCCTATTTCTCAGGTTGGAATCTGGCCTGCTCTCTCCTGTCCTTGCAATATCTGCCCTGTGAAGATTTTCCCCCAGTCTGCAGTTTGCGGCCAGACTTTGGGAGATTCTAATCATGACAGACAGCCTGAAGAGGCTAATTCCTTTCCCTTTCCTTTTCCTTTTACCTTTTAGTTTCTTTTTTCACTTTCCCTTTTCATTTTCCTTCCTCTTGCAAGCATTTTGTTTCCTGGTATTCCCATGTTTCTTCTTAAAATTATGAAATGTCAGTGTTTTAAGGGTGCATATGTTTGTGGCTGCACATGCTATTTTTTAAAGGCTTTATGTATTTGAATCTTTATACTTGGTTGATAACGAAAAATCAGCACTGCCAATGCACAGAGGTGTTTTACTTGCAGTTACTGTCTTACCAATATTAAAGTGTAACTTTCTGTAGCGTTTCAAAGGTTTTTTTACTAGTTTCATGAAATCTGAGTCAAATCCTTACCATAAAATCACTTCCTACAGCTTAGAAGCCAACCGGAGTCTCAGCTTACATCTTAAATTTCACACACTGGATTCCAACATGGCAAAACAGGCGTCTTTTATAGAAAGACCAGGCAAAACTCACGCAAATGTGTATTTTTTTCTGCATGCAGACGAAGCTCTAGCTTTGATTATTGAACTAGTGAAGACTGGGCAGCAGCACACACCTACGTGTGTTCCAGAAAAGCTCCTTGCTCTTGTGCAAGGCCTTGCTTTTCTGCAGCTCAAAGCTGCAGGACGTGTTACAGGTTGTTTGCTTGGACCTGCTGTGTGGCTGTTGGTGGAGATATTCATGTGTCTGATTCCGTTTTATTACTAAAGTGTTAAGGAGGGCTGAAAGCATTTTGTTTCACTTTACTGTCTCACAAATCTGTAAGTGTTCTAACACTCCAGTGGTATTTGATTTTATTTATTACATCTAAGTGTAAGAATTATAGCACATGGTTTTCTGTTATGTAAAATATCGTTAAAGCCAAGAATTGGGGTGGACATCCAGTCTAAAGCACTGCAGTTTTGGTCAGATGAAGGTGTTTGCAGCAACATATGGACAAGATGACTGTTCTGGTTGTGTGTCACCCAGTTGGTGGCACCAGCTCTGCCTTGGCACAGGAGCTGCCAGCATGGGGCCCTGCACCATACCCAGCCCTTGGTTTTCCAGCTGAGTAATGCACTGTTTAGGTAAAAAATTAGCCATGAGCAAAACCAGATATTTTTTCACAGATACATGTGACTTTTACCATAAAATAACAGCTCTAAAATCCAGCTTATCTGAACAGTTGGGAGCACGTGTCCTTCCGGCTTAACCACAGCTTTTAGCTTGGAGAGAAGGGGGAAGGAGGGGATGATGTGGTGGGAGGACGGTGTTGCCAAACCATGTACCTCTGTGACCTGGAGCTGGCAGCTCTGGTGTGTGTGCCAGGGGAGTGGGCAGTGCGAGGCCATGTGCCATCAGGATGCCATGGGCCCTGCTGATGGCAGCTTCTGCTGGGCTCTTCTCCTGCATCCTGGCATCACTGGGATTCATCCGCTGCTTCCTTTGCTGTGCGGGCAGGAGGAAGCAGAGCTGTTAGCTGGGTTTGTTACCCTCTGTATGTGAGCGGCAGAGCGACACGGCAGTACCTGGTGTTCAGGGAGACGTGAGTCTGTGCAGTGGGGTAAGGGAGCAAAGAGCCAGAGATAAAGGAGGTGTTTCCAGAATAAAACGTGTGAAGTGCACAGAGTGATTTTAAGAGAAGCATCACCTTTTGCTTTATATATAAGTAGTTTACTGATGTAAGCTAAATGCATATAGGTTTGTTTTTTTTTAATGAGACCCTAGATTCATAGATTAAAGTCTAAACTTAATATAGTTTATTAAAAAGTAAGTTAAATATGAAAAAATCATCTTATTCCCTCTATTTGCTCCCAGTATTATAAAGAAATTTTGTCACATGCCTGGTGGAAGTCTACTTGAGCATCTAAGACTGAAATTCATTGACAAGTTAAATCATTTCTAAGTGCCTTTCCAAGGGTCAGAGGGAGTTTTTCTTTTTAGTTGGTTTGAGCAGTTCAGTTCAGTTAAATCCTACGACAAGTGCTGGGACAGGCAGGAGCCCTTCTGCTTCTGTCCTGAGGCCAAAACAGGCTGTGACTGGATGACCTCTACCACCCCTAAAATGACATCTTCACCCCTAAAATCAGGAAGGAGACACGGACCACACGCAATTGATGCAATGCTTTACATATGGACAGCGCTTTATCTAATAAAGTTGTTTTTCACGTTTAAATAATAAAGCTGTAACATACTCAGAATTTAATACCATTTTCTTTAAAAACAATCTTCAAATTCTGCATGTCTGTTTTCACTGATTTTAAATGCAGCTTGATACAGCACACAAATAAAATGACTAATTGCACTGTAATTGGCCCACACAACGAAGCCAATGGTGCTGTTGAAATGTGGGCAACTGTCTGGTCGAGGAGGATTACTGGGCACTGGTTCAAGACTATGACTACTTAAGAACATAAATCTGCAGTTCTACAGGGGAAACCTGGCCATGCCAAGTTAGGAGGGGTCTGAAGAAGAGCTAGCAAATAACTGATCTTTCCCAGCACCTGCGCTCCCCATCCTAGCAGTTCAAAACCCAAGATTCAACTCTCTGCAACTTCTGCTCCATGCAGTTGGAAGCACTCCAGTTTGAGCAGTGTGCTGGGTGCAGATTTGAAGGATGGGTAAGAATCTCCAGCCAAAAGCAATGGAGAAAATAACAGGGAAATAGGTACCATACCATGTGCCTCC